GTAAACGTAAGTAAAATGTTTTCCTGGGTTCAGTGAGCTATTCCAGAAAATCATCAAACCTGAGGAGGGGGTCATGGGAACCCCCAATTGATAGCCAGTTGGTCAGAAGTACAAGTGGCCTGGGACCTGGCATCCGACATCGGGCAGTCTTGTGAGACTGAACCCTTTAACTTGTGGAATCTGATGTAGTGTCAGAATTAAACTGCACTGCTGGACACCCACCTAGCTGGTGTCCAGAGAATTAGAAAATTGGCTGTTGGTAAAACACTCCAGAGTGACCTTACCTAGAAAAAGGGTCTTTACAGATATAATCAAGTTAAGATGAGGTTATACTGGATTAAGTACCCCTAAATCCAATATGACTGGTATCCTTATGAAAAGAGGGAAATGTGGACTCAGAGACAAGACACACAGGGAGAACACCAGATGAAGACAGGCACAGAATGAAGTGATTTGCCTACAACCCAAAGAACACCAGGGAATGCTAGCATCCACCAGCAGCTAGGAGAGAAGTGTGGAACAGATCCAGCCTTTGGAAGGAGCATGGTCCTAGGGGCATCTTGATTTTAGACTTCTGACCTCTAGGATTATGAGATAATACCTCTCTGATGTTTTAAGCCACATAATTTGCAGTAATTTGTTACAGCAGCCCTCAGAAACCAATAGAGTGATTGCCTACATCTGAGGGAAGGGAGCCCTCGGGGTCAATCAGAGGTTTGAAGCCTAAGTGATAGGAAGAATGACATGCTACTGAAAGAGATGAAGAGTTCAGAGGGGACACTGGCTGTAAGGAATGATTTCAATTTTGACTTTAGCAGTCCAATGCCATCACAGGATTGCCAAGTGGATGCCTTGGTGTTAAAAATATTCCAACACAAAGGAGCAATAGAAAAATCAAAAGAACACTAATACAAGAACCCAACCTGGGATTCCCCTTTTACCACCTTCTAGCCAAATTCAACGAACTCTTCAGTAATCATACTAACCAACCATTTGTCTTGGATACCTTTCTTTTCCAGTGGCTTCTACAACACCACACTGTAGCTTCCACCTCTATGACCATTCCTCTACTAAATCCAGTTCTTCTTTCTAAGTCAATTCGATTCTTAGTCCTTTTATTCCTCAATCATCTTCAAAATCTCAAGTGTCTAATTCTTTACCTCTAATCTGAATTACTGCTCCCCATGGTGTACATTCCATTATTTCTAGTTATTTACACAGCACCTTCACCTAAGAGTCTAGGACACGAGTCCAGGGATGCACTGTCATACTTCAGATCTGACACGTGTTTAGTAGAATATACCTTCTCTTTCTACTCAACTGACACGTGTTCTTCACTCCATTACAACTCCATTTGTATACTCTCACAGCTAAAACATGTCATATTTTCCCTTTCTTCTTTAGCACCATATCCTGTAAATCTTCTCCTTCAGAATAATTCTAAAGAGTCACCTTTCATCTTCATTCCTCTATCACAAGCCAAAATTCCACGCTTCTTACCTCATTTTATCACAAGAGCTTCCTAACTGGCCTCCCTGTCTTCAGGCTTTCTTTGCTCTGACGCTCTTCTCAAACTTTAGGGTCTATACAGATCACCTGGGAGTGACTATTAGTATTGTTTAGGTATTGCATGTTATCTTCTCCAACTAGATCATATGGTCATCAAAGGCAGGAATTAATCATGGCTTCTATTTTCCTCTAAGTGTATAATAGAATGCTAGGCCACCCAACATATTCAATAGACACTTTAGAAGTTTAAGACTACGGTTCATGTCTTTTCCAAAAAACATTCATAACCATAATTTAACCAAGAATAATTTCAGAGAGATGTACCTTAGAATAAAAATAACAAGTTGTCATCTCAAGTGCCTTAAAAGGAAAAGGACAACTCACTGTGCTCAAACCAAGAGATCTCTCTTCTTACTCACACTTCAACAATGTATAGAGAAAAATATACACAGAAGCCAACAATCACAGAAGGGCATCCTAACTCAAGATACCTGGTCAAGTTCTTCCAAACAAATCAACAAAGTAAAATATCATTACACAAAGATTCTATCTAAAAAGACTTAACAGAAATGACATAAGCTTTGTGCATAGGAGGTTGGAGCTGTAAAGAAACACACTCAGACGGCAATGAGGCATCTTTTCTAGCCTGGGGAAAAAAATAAAGCTGCCACTCTCCAGTTATAAGAACCACTCACAGGAAAGCAACTCTAAAGGATTATGATTTCTGCTCTAGAGTTAATATTTTGTGACTTGCTTTAAGTCTTACAACATAAGCAAGTTATGATTTTTGTCACTTAAAGAACCTAACAAGTCTATTGCACTCCTATGAATTATATTTATATAATCCTAGAGCCAAATTTTTCATATAGAAGCATTATCTTTAACTAGAATGGAAAGAGTCTGACTTAAAGAAATTCACTTCATAGCGATTATTCTGCCACGAGAAGTAAGACTCATATGGGTACAATGAAGAGAAAAGCAGTCAAGTATTCGGGAAATTGGGAAATTAAAAGAGTAACAGCGCAGAGAGAACAAAGGATTAAGAACAGAAAGATGTAAATTTTAGTCATGGCACTGAATCTTACTAGTCAAGTAATCTTGGCTACCTACCACTTCAGTTTCCTAATCTGTAAAAACTATCTGAATGCTAAAATTCCTGAGCCCTAAAATTATATGTACTCACAGATTTTTTATAGTATTTCTATGCCACATATATTGTCTATTTTTCTACTTTAATTGATGTAAAGTTGTAAGCCTCTAGGGAAGTGTCCCACGCGGTAAGACAGCTCTGGGTCATAACTACTCACTGAATTGAGCTTAACAATTTCCTATGACTGCAAATCATAACCCACAGGTCACATTTTCAAAAGAGACATGGATATTCCCGATGTTCACACCCATCATTTGGCAGGTATTTCAATAGGAAAAAATTCACCCCAGGTCACAATACTGATGAAAGGCTGTCTTGCAGATTTCTTAAATTATCACCTCTTCCCTTCTTACTAGTATCTATGATTAGCTGGTAATCTCTCTCACCACTGGATGTCACTTTTGCTCCAACAGAAGTCAACCCAAACTAACCTCAATAGTAATTAGAATCTGGTTTCTATGATGCATAACTCTAAAACCTTAACATAAACATTTCTCTGTGAAAGATAAAATCAGTTCTTATAATTTCTACTGATTTTTGGCTAAAATCTGGCTTCAGATGCTTCTAGGCTTCAAACAGTGCTAGGAACCATAAGTGAAATTTCTAAGATCATCCCAAGCCATAAAACACTTCACTGAAATTCCACCAATACCCATGCACCGCTCAGTACTTGTATGGCCAGAAAGAAAGAGAAGCAGCACACATAGGAGGAAATACAAACAAAGACAGTGTTTATATTCAAGTATAAAACACTGAGATTCCCTTTTCTAATCTCAATGTTACACTACTTCCAGCATTGAGAAGAGAAAAGCAATATTCAGAAATCAAGAAAGTGGGAAAGCAATGACTTGGAGACTTCTCGTACTGTCACTCCAACTATCAGGATGCATTTGGCAGTTATATCCAATAACCATAAATAGGTGTCTAGGAACTGTGTCTTTGGTTTCCAAATTCAGAATATGTAAATGATATACAGTTCTCTTCTCTTATGCAAATATGAAAAGCTAAGCTTTCCAATAAACCCACAGACATTAAGATACTAGTGTGCCTAGGGGCGCCTGGGTGGCGCAGTCGGTTGAGCGTCTGACTTCAGCCAGGTCACGATCTCGCGGTCCGGGAGTTCGAGCCCCGCGTCAGGCTCTGGGCTGATGGCTCAGAGCCTGGAGCCTGTTTCCGATTCTGTGTCTCCCTCTCTCTCTGCCCCTCCCCCGTTCATGCTCTGTCTCTCTCTGTCCCAAAAATAAACGTTGAAAAAAAAAATTTTTTTTTAAAAAATAAAAAATAAAAAATAAAAAAAGATACTAGTGTGCCTATGAGAAGTGCCCTACTCTCATCTCAGATGTTCTCATCTTCCCAAAACAAATGCCATTGCTAAATGAACTTATCATATGGGGACATAGTAAATCATTTATGGTACTTTTATGCTACTCCTCACCCCCAGCTCCATGCACACACCAAATCTTGTTGAAAATAAGTACTGAATCACTGCCACCATGAGTCATGGTTACTGATGGGGCCATGCTACATTCCTTGGGTTTGCTGAAGTAGGAAAGAAGTTGTAAACCACTGACTTAGATGAATCATCTGATTACATTATATCCATGACGCTCTGAACTATTTCCAAGAAAACATATGGAGAAAATATGCCTACAAAGGTGAAACTTAAAAAAGACCACAGCTGGGGCATCTGGGTGGCTCAGAGGGTTAAGCATCTGACTCTTGATTTCAGCTCAGGTCATGATCTCACAGTTTGTGAGATCCTGGGATACTCTCTCTCCCTGTCTTTCTCCTGCCCCGTGATTTCTCTCTCTTTCTCAAAATAAACAAATAAACATTTCAAAAAAATAAGATCACAGCTGCGGTAACTATCATGGCTACTACAGAAGTCAGGGGGAAGCCTAGTTTCTCCTGCTAGGGCAAGGAGATACCCACTCCTATATTCCTGAGTTGGAAATAAAAAATCATTTTAGCCAAAAAAAAAAATGTTACAAGTATTAGTTAAGCACAGTTGAAACAAACCTAATCATCCTGTAAATTTAAGTGCAGAATGAGTTAATAACTAAGACTTATAAGGGCTGGTCTAGAAACTTTATCAATGAAAAAACACTGTGGGAAAATGCATGACAGCTCTGAAAAACCGACTTGAGCACAAAATTTAGAAATAAACCTGTTGAACAGTTTGCATTTTCCCAATTTATCCCTGCAAGGTTGACAGCAAAATGTCATGTTTAAATATCAAATTAAACATACACTAAAATCTCAGTTTTAATTACATTTTATTCTCCCAGAATAGTTAATTATGTTTTACTCTATAGAAATCACTTTAATAAGAACCACTTGCCTTTTTCTGGGCAATTGCAGCTCGCTGCAGTTTTTCTTTAGCTTGATTATACTTTTCTTCTCTGTCAGTGAGACGTTCCTGAAATTTATGCTTTTCTTCCAACCACTGTATCTGTTTCTCTTCCAAAGTCCTGTCAAAAGAATGTATGCAAAACACAGACGGTAACTCTTAAGATTAAATAGACATTATCCCAAGTAGAATCAAACGCTGTACCTGCTTCACCACATGCTTAATTATCCAACTACAGGCACTCTTGCATGGCCAAGTATTTGCTTATACTGAGTACTTCTCTGAGTACTGAGTAAATGGTACTCAGTACCATTACTGAGTACTTCTTCTGAGCCAGATGCTGTGCTTAGAACAGTGTGTGTACTATGTTATCTATTCTTCACAATAACCCCTTGAGTTAGGGACTACTATCATCTCCATTTTATAGATGAGAAAACTAAAGCCTAGAGAGCAGTTAATGAATTTGCTTAAAGACTTACACCTAGTTAACAGCAAGACCAACACTTGATAACTAGCTTTGAATCATGATAACCACCATGCTATAAAAACTAGGTCTAGCATGGGTGATGGGTACTAAGGAGGACACTTGTTGTGATACGCACTGGGTATATGTAAGTGATAAGTCACTAAATTCTACACCTGAAACTAATATTACACTATATGTTAACTAACTAGAATTTAAATAAAAACTTGAAACATTAAAAAAAAAAAAAACTGGGTCTAATAAAGCTGGTTAAAAATCAACCTAGGTATCAAGTCTTAATGCAGGATGTTTTCAGACTAGACTAAAATTCATATAATGATATTTTAAGGTACCAAAACAACCTACATCTTTAAAGCTCTTCTGCACACTTTGCATAATTTTTAGTATCATTACTATATATAGGCAGTACAAATGAGATTTATAAATCCTGAGACATCAGATTATGTGCCTAAGGTCATATAGACTTTAAGTGTTTTAGCTGGGACCAAAATCATGTTCAACTGACACGTCATCCAGCTATTTTCTGCCATGTAATCTTATGAATAACATTCAGAAACCAATGATCAATTACTTAAATTTGCTAGCTAAGTTGTCATTAGAATGCCTTTTGTCTTAGAATTTTAAGTGCATTTTAATCAAACACTTCAGGTTCCAAGATATAAATTTCCATTTTTTTGCAAAATAATTTGGACCCTATGGAATGTCACAACACATTATGGACAAATAACTTGCTTACTTTCTTTTCTTGAAATTCAACTGCATGTGTGAAACCACAGACAGTCTTAAAATATGAAATAATGAGACACTGAAGGGAGAAAATTTTATTTGGCAAAGTAGCCTTCAGAAGAGAAAATCTGAAAAGAATTATGTTTTGTAGATTCAAACAAAAATATAATACTAACATGAAGACAAAGCAAATACAAAATAGCAGTTTTCTATCATATCTAAACAAAACTTTCCAGAGAATGTAAGATCTTGAACATCACAAAAATCATCTCCTTGCCAGTTTACTATATACACTGTCTACTAGTAATAAATTTCAAGACCAAAAAATATAAACAAATAAATGAGCTTTTCAAAGGGAAAATCCAACGTATTATAGTTCTAATTCTAGGAAGTAAGTTTTGCATATCACAAAATTTCTTTCTGTTCTCTGGCATTCAGAAGAATAATTTAGATATTTGGAGTAAAAAATGTATTAATGTATTGGTTTACTCAATGAATAAAGAAGGGTTTCTTTGACGGTTTTCAAAAGAACACGGTGGACAGGCAGAATTTGTTAAAAAAAAAAAAAAAAAAAGTCTTCTGCCCTAAATGCCCCCTTTTTTAAACAATTCAAGAGTCCATAAAGGTCATTCTCTAGAAATAGAAAGTACATTACCTAATGCCATTGTATACTGTCAAAGGGTATTTGTAACTAGCTCCCAAAACACATTCAACATTAGAATCGTCATTAAAAGAACTACATATAACATAGCAGAAAGAAGAAATAGTTTGTACATAAAAAAGAGCAAACTCTACCTTTCAACTTCTAGTTGTGCTTTCTCAGCTTGGCTTCTTAAATTTCGGCATTCCTGTTTTAACCTCTCTACCATTTCCTTCAGTATTTGGTTTGAATTCAGCAACTCATTCTCGGACTGTCCAAGTGAGGTCACTTGGATCTGCAAACTACTGATTTGCTTAAAAGAGAAGAAAGAGAAACATACAGCCACGTATGCAATAACGAACGTATGGGAGAGGCACAGGATTGTAAGCATCTTCCTTCACAAATCCTCCACCCAACTGATTTGTCCTAAGGACACCCGGAAATTAAATGATAAACCGCAGCAGCATTAGGATCCAATAGCATAGTATCATTGCCTAATATAACCAGAGTCTATCAAGAACCCTATTCCTCAATCCACTAAGTCCTCTCCTCTTCCTCCCAAAATAAGCAGACCAGATGAGCTACTGGGAGTAGGGAAAAGGATTGTAAGAAGGGGAGAGTAGGGAAGTGAGAAAGGAGAATGCAACCATTAGAAAGTCTCCACTGAACTTCCTCTACCTCCTAGGAAAGAACAGGTTTTAAAAGCTCATCAGCTGGGAAAGCTGCTAAGGGAATCTGTTCTCCCATTCCCATGTACCCTATGATCAGCAACTCTTCCGGGAGTTCTGCTTTCTAAATAGTTTGGAATCATTAATACAGAAAGGATCACTCTTACATTGTTTGTTTTTTTTTTTTTGTTTTTTTACATTTATTTATTTATTTTTGGGACAGAGAGAGACAGAGCATGAACGGGGGAGGGGCAGAGAGAGAGGGAGACACAGAATCGGAAACAGGCTCCAGGCTCTGAGCCATCAGCCCAGAGCCTGACGCGGGGCTCGAACTCCTGGACCGCAAGATCGTGACCTGGCTGAAGTCGGACGCTTAACCAACTGCGCCACCCAGGTGCCCCTCTTACATTGTTTTTAACTGGTTTCTAAGCATTCCATATACCCAGTGTTGGGTGGAAGAGAGATATTCTAAGAAACCTAATGAATGGCAAGGCTTCCTTGGCCTCTAGAGCCATTTATCAAACCATGAAATGTCACTCATGCTTTTTCTCCATCCTAATGTACTTTTATCTGGGAGTACATTTTCTCATGAAAAGTAACTAATTATCTAGTTAAAAATTAACAGGCTAGGAAGACAAATGGTGATTTTTAGTTATATCCAAATAATCTTCATTTGGAACACAGTTATACCTACTTCCTCCACGAGCAATTTTACTCTTTTTTGGGGGCGGGGTGGGGAGCACAAGAGTGTACACACAAGTGGGGAGGAGCAGAGAGAGAGAGAGAGAGAATATTCCAAGCAGGCTCCACGCTCAATGCAGAGCCTGACGTGGGGCTCAATCTCATGACCCTGAGATCATGATCTGAGCCTAAATCAAGAGTTGGTCACTTAACTGACTGAGACACCCAGGCACCCTCATTTTGCAAATTAACAAATCTTCATTTTCTTTCACCTTTTCTTACCTCTTAGCCATTCTCTCAGAGGAGCTGGAAGCACAGAATCAAGAGACTGAAGAGTCAAAAGAAACCAGATTCTTTAGGCAATAAATTAAATAATTCCAGCCCTTCCTGGTGGTAGCAAAGCCAAATAAGACAGGACTGTATACAACCAAAGAACAACTGACCAAATAAAGTAAAATGATATGTCTCAGATTTCTACTTTAGAATAAATTTCTCCAGGAAGAGCTACTCAGTCTTTATTTAATTGGAGTTATAAAAATTAAATCTGTAATACAATTGATTGAACAAGTAACCCTCAAAGAACTTAATATTTCTCCACATCTAACAAATGACAGCCCAATGCCAATGATACTAGATCACTTCTCTCAGAGTATCAAACACTATGTCCTCCTAGGTGAGACTTAGAAACCACAATTGCATATGCAAAGCAATGCCAGCTAGCTTGCAAGGATAAATCCTAAAAATGGAATCCTCTTTACTTCATAACTTTAAACAAAAAAGAAAATGGAATCCAGGAAAGAACACTCTTCCATGTTTTGCCCATATAAGTTTTTCTTAAACCCAAATAACTTCAATTAAAATATAAATTTCCTTCCATAAATACAACTCTTAGATTTCACATTTCACAGGGATATAATAAGAAATAGTTCATAGAATAAGCAATATAAAGTTACAAGTCAATCCCACAAGGAATTTAAAATCTAGATGATCTTTCTAATCAATTTTTAAATTCAGAATATTAAAGTAGTGTTCCTTAAACTATAATTTAAAAAAATTCATTATGGGTGACAGCATATAAAGACCTCAAGAAAAACAGCAGTTAGCAAAACCAGCTTACTAACTAGAGCTTAAAGAGGTTTAAACAATTTTATCTTCATCTATCAACCTCACCAACACATATCAATGTAATGATTATATTTTCAGAATACTGATATAGAAAATTCCAAAAGATTCAAACAACACACAAACAACCCAAGTACCCATCCACAGATGAATGGATAAAGAAGGTGTGGTATATACACAAGACGGACTATTACTCAACCATAAAAAATTTTGGACAAAATCTTGCCATCTGCAACAACATGGATGAATCCAGAAGGTACAAGGCTAAGTGAAATAAGTCAGAGAAAGACAAATATCATACAATTTCACTCATATGTGGAATTTGAGAAACAAAACAAAGAAAAAAAAGAGAAAACCAGACGCTTAAATACAGAGAACAAATTGGTAGTTGCCAGAGGGGAGATGGGTGAAACAGATAAAGAGGATTAAGAGTATACTTAGAGTGATGAGCACTGAGTAATGTACAGAATTGTTGAATGATTTTACTGTACACCTGAAACTAACTGAACACTGTAGGTTAATTATACTTCAATAAAAAACCCCAAAACTTACACACATACACACTCAAAATACAGATTTAAAGAAGCACTTAAAAAAATAAAAGCAAGGCGCGCCTGGGTGGCTCAGTCAAGCGTCCAACTTTGGCTCAGGTCAGAGATCCCCCAGTTTGGGAGTTCGAGCCCCACGTCGGGCTCTGTGCTGACAGCTCAGAGTCTGGAGCCCGCTTCGGATTCTGTGCCTTGCTCTCTCTCTGCCCCTCCCCTGCTCACACTCTGTCTCTCTCTGTCTCAAAAATAAATAAAACATTAAAAATAAAAATAAAAAAATAAAAGCAAAATGTTTGCTAAAATCATTACCTGTTTCAGGTCAGCATTTTCATTTTTTTCTTTCTCTGCATTTTCAATATTCACAATTTGTTGCTGAAGTTTTAACCTAAAAATGACAACCCAACAAACACATTTATTAAGAAACCATAGTTCCTATATTTCAATGAATTAGACAATCATTTTAGAGTACCCGTATTGACACCAGGTGTTGTGCTTGTTAAGTGGCAGATAAAAGTTTGATAAAGATTTTGACTTCAGGAAGGTGTGTTCACATGTAACTAAGATGTATCAAATTTCTGCTTTTACTGTGGAAAAATCTACAAACTTCTGGCATAGAGAAGATGAGAAATCAAGTAGGTCTAGGAAGACGAGACTACATACATGGAGATGTAAATTTGATGGGTATGATTTTGATAAACGCGGGGAACAACCTGAACAGCCTTTGGTGGGAGAGCGCATAACGTGTCACTAAGGCATCAGAAAGTGGTCTAGTGCGGGCAAAGCCATGTCTGTGATCACACAGCTTACACAATGCTTTCACCCACACTGCTACCTCACTTTCACTTACCAGACTTGGAGCTCCTAAATGTATCTCTAATGCCTATTAAGTCTCCCTGTTTTTAACTGCAGTAATTTCTCACAATAACTCCATGAAAGTAAGCAAAGTCATCTTTATTATTTCAATTTTATAGATAAAGAGATTGAGGCTCAGGCCCAAATCACATAGCTACCAAGCAGCCAAATGAAGACAGGACCCAGGTCTTCTAACCCAAGTAAGGGTTCTTCTCCTACTTATTATGCTGCAATTTTACTGATTTAAGTTGAAAATTTATAAGAAAACTATCTAGTACAGGACACCATAGTGTATTCTATAAAATATATTATGAGTTTTCATCCCTGAGATGAATGCTTATACAATGTGTGTCCTTTTCAAAGGAATGATACATTTTTAACCAGAACCTTAAAACATAGAGCATCTCTGGTAACCAAATAACTAACCTCATAAGAAAGACTTTATGCTAATAGGATAGGCCAATATGTGATAGGATATGCCCTCGACTGCTCCCTTTTTAAAATCCCTCAAACATTTACCTCAAATATAATTCATTTGGCATTTATTATTTACACTTTGGCATTATTAGCATGTCTTATCAACCCAGGTAGAAGTGCTTATTGGAAAGATGACATTCGCAAGAGCCTAAGGCTGTGCTTGAAATGTTAACAAGAATTCAATAAATATTTGTTGATGGAATGAATGAACCAACCCAAATCCTGGGTTAGACACTTAAATGTCTAAGATGACTGGACAATATGACACGGAAGAAACCGTAAGACCCAATGCTTCCTAAGATATTTACATACAAATGCTAGAGACAACGGATCTAAAGGAAAGGGGAGTCTTGCTCTTACTTTGCTCCTTTAACAGTACCAGTCATACTCTTGTTTCATAATTTCAGCTACATTTTTACTCTCCGAAACTTTCTCTGCATCTCACCCTTAAATGTTTATGGATGTCATTAACTTGGTGCTTCTAGGTCACAGAGTTAATAAAGATTTCTTTCTAAAAATCATGAAGACAGAAACAGAGGAGAAAACACTGTGGGTCTTAGCTCAGGTCCAGAGTTAAAAAGTTAGGTCCCAAGTAAATCTTAGCTCTGGTCAAGATTTTGAATACACCTGGTAACAGGAAGAAACAAGATCCTGTTAAGAAAGCAATGTGGTCTGAATGCTTTCTAAATAAGTTACGTAGGTATGAAAGGAAACAATGCCCTACAAACAAAAATCGAAGCCAAAGACTATCATGAAAACATGAAAAGTAAGAACATCATGATGGTAGACTGTAAGAGGTGACAAAGTCTTCTTCAGTTCACTTCGCTAGAGTTGTGCAGTGTTAGAATCTACAACCCATATGGCAGTTTTTTAGAAGAAAATTAGTCCACAATTTAAGATCATTACCATTAGGATTGTAAGGGATTATGGAATTTAACATAAATAAAAATTAATAGAGATGATCAGGGTCTAGAAATACATTCAGTGGTCTTAACCTCAGTAACAAAAGAGTTCAGTACAAATTATTTCAAAATGCAATGCTGCAGACTTAGGAATAAAGTACAGTACCTCTTTTGATGAGAAAGTTTTGACTATTTAAGGTAGGTCACAACAAATCAAAAGAAATCAAGTCTTAAAGTAGAACTAAAAAATAGAGAAGAGAGTGCAATTAACTAACTTCCTTCAGGGTATCAGTAAAGGCTACATAAGAGAAATGCAATTTGAGCTGGACCTTGAAGGCAAAATAAGAGTCTGAGGTAAAGAAATTAAAGACATAGATGAAGAAGATAATCAGTGAAGCAAGACTCTAGAGGAAGCAAAGGAGATGGGAATCAGAACACTTGAGACGTAAAGGGAGAAGGGATATCTTCATTAAAATAGAAAGGGAGGAGAGAATAGATGAGGATAGAAATTCTCAGATAGTGAGAAGTTTAAAGAATTTACATCTAGGAGCTTTTGCTCAGGCACAAGTGAGAGCATAGGTAAACAGTGGACAAATAGATTTCAAGCTAAATGGGAGGCAAGGGAGCCAGGTTAACAGAGTGGAAGAAAAAAAAAAAGTATAAGAACTAATTTTGCTATCAGTTTGACTATCAAATTTTAATGCCTTCAGTAAGATTGAAGTAGAGAAGAGGAAAAAAATAGGTATTTGAAATATCAGTTCAAAGGGATGACAAGGTCCAAGAAATGGCTAAGTGTAGGGGCTGCTAAAGTTGAATAAAGATAAAGAATATAAGAGTTAAGATAAACTATAAGGCTAAGGTGGATCAACAATATGAATGGTGTCGTCACAAAGAACAATGACAAAGGATAGAAAATAGTAACAAATTGAGCTAGACAGAAGTCAAGCTCTTCATTGACTGTTGGGGAACATCTTATAGGTTGGTCACTGAGAAATAAATAGGGATAAGATGGACACAGTGAAGACCAAAAGCAAAACCATTTTAACCCAGTTCGTCAAACAATTGTCTGGAAGCAAAAGTCGGTTCACAAATATGGATTTTCCTTCTTGTTCCCTAGTTGCAGGACAGACGAAGGGAAGAGTAATTCCACTTAAAAGGGTTGCCAGGACAAGGTCAGGTTTCAGTGAGGGTATATTTTTTTAAAATGTGGAGACTGTGGGGCGCCTGTGTGGCTTAGTCAGTTGGGTGTCCGACTTTGGCTCAAGTCATGATCTCACAGTTTGTGAGTTCGAGCCCTGCGTCAGGCTCCTGCTGACAGCTCAGAGCCTGAAGCCTGCTTTGGATTCTGTTTCCCTCTCTCTCTGCTCTTCCTCTGCTCATTCTCTCTCTCTCCTTCAAAAATAAATAAAAACTAAAATAAAATAAGGAGACTGCAATATATATACATATATATACATATATATGTATATAGGTAATGGGATAGATTTCAGAGGCTACAGCAAAAATTATTGAAAGGAGAGATTTAATGGATTGGTCATGAGGAGAAATCAAAAAATGAAGGATGAATACGTTGTTGAATGAGCAACTATGAGATCAAGTACCTTATATTTTTAATGTAATTATGGAAATAATGGAAGCAGAAATTGTAGACAGACCACAGGGCCAAAGTACAACAGAGAACGGAGCTGTAGAAAAGTTGAAACAGAAACAATAAGAATAACAGTGAGATGGAGTCATTCCAAATTCTCTTCCAAGAACAAGTAGCTAATTATGATGATTATTGCCTAGGTTTTCTGCGGCAGGCAGCTCATGTGTGTCATTTCAACATTCAACAAATATTTACTGAGTACCTACAAACGCTAAGCCTCGTCCTAAGTGTTGTAGATACACCAGAGAATAACAAAGACAGAATCCCTATCCTTAAGGAATTTACAGTCCAATGGCACTATCTGATTTTTTTAATGATGGAAATGTTCTATAATTTGTACCATCCAATATGATAGCCACTAGTTACATGTGACTATTGCATATTTCAAAAAGTACAACTGAAGAACTAAATTATTAATTTTTTTACTTTTATTTTTTACATGTTCACTTATTTTAGAGAAAGAGAGAGAGTGGGAGAGGGGCAGAGGGAGAGAGTGGGAGGGAGAGAGACAGAGAATACACTGTCGGCGCAACCCAATGTGGAGCTTAAACTCCCAAACCATGAGATCATGACCTAAGTCAAAATCAAGAGTCAGACACTAAACCGACTGAGCCACCCAGATGTCCATAATTTAAACTAATTTAAAATTAGATTTAAACAGCTATATGTGACTAGTAATATCATATTAGGCACAAAAGGTCTAGTCTAACTTCTAGGCTTCATTTGATGTCAGCCTCTATTATCAAGGGAAAGCAATAGATCAGGCAAGCAAGAAAAGTTGTATTTGTGATTTCTCTATTTGTCAAAGATTCCAGAACAAGTTTCCTGGGGAAAGCAGTTCTTATGTAAACCCAATGAAAACAAGGTTATTGCTTGAGAGCAATGGAAACTGACTCTGGCCATTATTAGCAAAAAGAGACTTTCCTGGAAAGATATGAAACTCACTGAACCAACAGGAAACTAGAGAACCGGAACCAGGCTAAAATAATTGACAAGAATCACCAGCAAGGACAAACTGTCTGGCCCATCAAATGTTGCCACATATTCTTCTATCACTTACTTTGCAGTTCGTATCTTGGAACAGAACTTGTTCAACTGGCCAAGTATAAGTCCCCTGCTCCCCACTAAGATGATACACAACAGATAATTCACCTAAAGATAGACTATATACAGAAAGAAGGTATATAAAGTAACCGGGTAGCTTTTTTTTTTCTTTAATATTTCTGAAAAAATGAGAAAGCCACAAATGTAAAATAGAGCTCTGGCTTTAAGCAATGTAAAAGATCAGGGATTCACTACAGGATTATCCTAAATGATCAAATTCCCTTTCCTTGAGCTAGTAATTGCTGCTATTTCCCCAACACACCTCCCCCTCACTTGTAATAACAAACTGCACATACAGTTTGTTCCACAACCGCCACTCTGAAATAGGCATAAAACTTGGGCTGAGTCAGAGTACCTTATCCCCCTGGCCACAGTGATGGGCTCAGGGATAGGTAAGTGAAC